TGCTAAGTTCTGTGCAATACTTCAATGAAATATTAGCAGACATGAGGCTTAATCTTGGGTTTAGTTGCCAGGATATAACATGATTCCAAGTCTACACTGTTTTATTTTAAGGTTGTATACACTGAAATCCTTTGAGCATCTTGGAGAACTTTTACTCTTCCAAAGATTAAAGATACCTGGCAGGACTTGATTCGCAAGCCCAGTTTTTTCTCTCTGTGTGGCTTCAATTATTACAAGCTTCAGAAGTGCTGACAGCAGAGCAAAAGGGTGTTTTTTTCTGGGAAGAGAAATGGGGACAGCTAGGGAGAGCTGTGATTTAGGAGGGCATTCTGATGAGACCCCAAAGAAAGAACAAAACACCTGTGCAGAACAGGCATGCATTTTTTGAGATTTACCACTTCTAGTACATACATACATGAAGTTAGCAGCTATCAATAGGTACTTTCAGAAGCTGTGTAATATATTGTGGTTTTTTTCAAAATTGACAAGCATCTGGGTTCACCACAATCTACGTACCACTAACACTCTGGATGATACTGAAATAGGCTGAAAAGTGTTTAGAGACAAAACTGAGTAAGACCAAACATTTCCTTCAGCATCAATAAATGTAAGTACTTTTCAAGACAGGAACTATTATTCTGATTATCTGTTGGAGAGATTCACGTTTGATAAAGTTTCTTGATAAAGCACTGTATTTTAAGATTTTGCTATGAGTCAAAAATGTATGAACAAGCAGACCTGCCACAGGAGAACAGATGAAAATTGGCAGAAAAGAAGTAGTGACTTCAATATGACATGATCCACAGCAACTGAAATCTGCTGAGCCTATGACAGACTCATGAATACAGACTCACTCCATAGTGCCATAATAGTCAAAAGTTAAGAGAATTCCTGATACAGATCGATAGTAAGTCGTAAGTTAACTTAAGTCTCACAACATTCTCAAGAAAAGTCTGGGATTTATCCGCAGCTGGTTTCCTAAGACAGAACAAGACATGTGTGGGGTACAGATGAGATCTTAGGAGATATGGTGCTAAAATGTACAGTTAGATAATGAAAGAAATCCATAGGCAATAGTGAATCAAGCAGATCAGACAAATTAATAAAAAACCCCTAAGGCATCAGAATTTCTCATCACTTATTCCCTGGGGGGAAAAAAAAAAACACACACACAAAAATAAACAAACAAAATTGTGATCATACAAGGTTAGCCTCAATCTAAAAATCTGTTCTGTCATTACGAAGTTCCTCTCACTCATTTTAAGTGAGCAGTCAAAACTTATGTTTTAAAGTTCACAAGATGCAAGGTAAGAGATTTTGTAGGAAAAGAACAGACTGAACACCTAACCAAAACTGAAGAAGAATGGATAAGAAACCCTTGAGACACCTGGGAATTTGTTTTTTAGGATTAAGTTTATATTTGTGTAATAGGACATACAGGTTTTTTCTGCTACCAAATGGTTCTAAACAGCATAAGTAAGGCTGTTTTTACTGTGTTTCAACCACCATTGCTACAAAACAGCATGGAAACTATCATACAAAATCCACTGCCACAAAACATTCAATCCAGGAAGTTTTGGAGAATGAACATCAAACGATTAAACTTTTAACTAAATATAGAGAGATTTCTCAACGGAGTATCTGTGATACCCAAGAAGGAGAAGAGGCAACCCTACCTACTGAAATTCATAAAGGGATCTGGGATAATGCCTTAAAGTTTGAGAAAGAGTTTCAATCATGGTGGCAATTAGTAAACTTCATGTATCATTCAGAAGGTGATAAGATTGTCACCTTTGTCCTCACTCTACGCAATGCTTGGGTATATACCATATACCCAATCATTGCACCGGGATCCAATCACTGTGGAGCTGTACTCTATCCGAATTAGAACACAGAGTATGGGTCCAACGAAATGGGAACAAATGGTAAACTGTTGACGTTAATGTATGCGTTGTACGGGGACAACAGGGATTTATTTGTGAAAGTAATACCGTTAAGGCCCAAGACATTTGCTTTGACACTGAACAAAGTGTTTGTCATTTTGAAATACATCTTGATGAAACTGCTGAAACCATCCTTATGTATCAGAAATGGATGTGTCTCTGAACGTAGAGTCACAAGGGTTCTTACCTAGATACCACCACTATAGAGACAAATAATCACTCAAATATCTGTATTTGTAATTTTACCAAAATTATGGGATGCAACTAACTATTCAGCTCCGTCACAACCCATCAATTGCTGCAACCGGACTACACATCGTATTAAGATTTACTGTCTACTCCCATTGGGACGAATCTTACATTAGTTAAATCACTGTTACAACATGATGACCTGAGTCAATTGCTAAAACGAATTCAGAACCACAGACAAAAATCCTTAATTACCATCCATCATGATGCAGAGAGATACACCATATCCTAGAAAGAGTGAAAAGGGATGGAGAACATCACTGGTGGGATGCCTTATTTGGATGGTCACTGACAGCAACAGGACTTCTACATACTGCTGCATCCCATCACTATTTTACTAATTTCTGTTATATTATGCTTGCTGTTAAACATTATTCTATACGTTAGAATGTCGAAAATGACTAGACGAGTAGCACTACTACCAAAACCTCCTTGTATATGTAATACTGCTTAATCATGTTTAACAAAATCTTAGTAGACTAACCAAAAATTTCCCTCAAACTATAACTAGAATACGGCATTAATCTGCTTACAGACAGAGAGGCAAGAGGCAACCACATTGGCACTGCAAGAGCAAGATGGAATGACTTTTGTTGTGGGGTAGATTGTGGTGTTGCATTTCCCATCCCACCCCGGGCCTCACTACGCTTTCAGAAATTCAGGTCCTAGCCTTTCTGTAAGCAGTTGGCTGGTTAAGCATCCCTTGACCATACCCAAAACTCTTTCACAGCTAAGGTGGGAATAACCCTGATTGTACCGGCAACTTCTGTCACTTGGCCAAGGCTGGAAGCTCAAACAAAACAGCTTCGTATCTCTAGCAAAACAGCCGCGGTACATCCCTGATCGGCATGGAAGCTCAAGCAAAACAGGCCCTGGATCTACCAAAACCTCCTTGTATATGTAATACTGCTTAATCATGTTTAACAAAATCTTAGTAGACTAACCAAAAATTTCCCTCAAACTATAACTAGAATACGGCATTAATCTGCTTACAGACAGAGAGGCAAGAGGCAACCACATTGGCACTGCAAGAGCAAGATGGAATGACTTTTGTTGTGGGGTAGATTGTGGTGTTGCATTTCCCATCCCACCCCGGGCCTCACTACGCTTTCAGAAATTCAGGTCCTAGCCTTTCTGTAAGCAGTTGGCTGGTTAAGCATCCCTTGACCATACCCAAAACTCTTTCACAGCTAAGGACAGAATAATACTAATTGTACCAGCAACTTCTGTCGCCTGGCCAAGGCTAGAAGCTCGAGCAAAACAGGCCTTGGCACATCCCTTATCTAAGCTGTAGCCCAAGCAAAACACAGTACCATCACTACTGGAATTTTTAGAATTCCAGCAATTATCAAGTCGAATCATGGCCAGAATGGAAGTTTACTAATGACTAAAGTCAATCATCTTGAGAACCTATAAATAGGAGTCCTAAGCGAGACCCTTTGAGCTCTCCTGAATTGCAGCAGGCTGCAACTACCATCTCCCACTGAGTGGGACACGTCTCAGAGCTTGTGAAACTGTCAAGTTTGTGAAGTTCCGAAGATAATTGCTGAAAGCAGATAATGGAGCCTGGGTCGCAAATCCTTCACTCCTCGAGACTCAATCCTCGCCCACTAAGAAATGCCAAGGGATTTGAAGTGAGTATTTCACTGAATCAAAGGAAATTTTTATAACAGGTATACCTATCTTTATACATTTATTCCTTTATACATCTACCTCTATACATAGATATATCTCTCTGTGTTTGTGTGCATGCATGTGTGAATTGATTCAAATACCCTGTAACAATTTGTCATTGTTACAATCATAGTAAATACTATTGAATTAGGTTGTATGTGTTAAATTAGTCAATGATTAACTGCTGTTCAATTAAAAAGTACTGCTAAATACTCTACTCCTGGTATCTCTTAGACATAACCCATTGACCAAGTCTGGGACTCTGGGCAGATCCAGCTGCAACTAGACTCCTCTCTGAAGGAGTTTAGAAAGCAAGAGGGTCTACACTGAACCTCAGGACTCAACAGGAGGGTCTCCCTTACCCCTTTTCATCTCTGGTCTCTATATAAACCACTCTAGATTGATTTTAACTTGATTATTCCTGTGTATATCCCTTTCATGTAATGAGTAATAGAGTGAACCTTGCCATTGAGCTTAAGTTACATGTCCATTAATTCATCTTAAAACCCTTTCTGCTAAGACCTTTGACAGTGATCCTTTGAGTGACCCTAAACACACACATTCACAACAGGCTGTTGTGGGTTTTCTTGCTTTTAACATAAACATAAAAGACAATGTATATTCACTCTACCAAATCAGTCCAGCCCTTATTTAGATTTAGAAGAAACCAAACCAAAACAAAAAGAAAAAAAAAAGCCCTCAGTTACCACAGTTCACTTGCTTAGAACAGTTTCAGCACAATTGTTCTCCCTAGACTCAAGCCCATGTCTACCTTCTCTTTCTTGTAAAAAATTCTACACATGCTCTGGGAAGCAAACCATATAAAACATTTATAAAAAAATATTTATTTATACAGTTCTTTCATAATATGAAAACAAAAAACAGTAAACAATATATACTAAACGATGATGAATTTCCCTTGAGATTCACATGCATACATTTTTTTAAAACCCTGGTAGTTTTAAGTGAAAATAATTATTTGCATTTGTTGAATAATCATTAGAAAAAACACAAAAAAACCTGCATTTCAAACAAGTCATACTTCACCTGCAAATTCAATCATAAAGGAAAGAGCATGCTTACAAATTAGTCTAATGTTTTAATGCTTTGAGTAAAGAGGAACAAAATACTTACATTATCTTCCTCCTCTGTATCATCATTGTCATTATCATCATCACTATCCTTGAGCTCAGGTGGAAGTGGTGGCCCAATGAATTGTTCATCATCATCATCAGTATCCTCAGATGCACCTTGAGCAGAAGTCTGGGATTGCATGGAAGGACCAGTTAACTCTTCATCTGAGCTATCTTCACTTTCACTACAGGCTGTCTCTCTACATGGAAAAATTTTAAAAATTACTGTTTCAAGAATATTGGCACTTCCATAGGAATTTTCAGGTAAAAGATGTTAAGAACTGCTGTAAATCTGTAAATACTGAAATTAGCAACACAACATAAACTAATTTTTATTGAGAGATTGTAGGCCCACCATCATCTTGAAAGTATAAACAAAGTTTAAAAAAAGAGAATTCCATAGTGACAGACAGTTCAAAAAACTGGACAAAAGAAAACAAAGAAAAAGTTAGACAGATTGTAAAAAAAAAAAAAACCACACAAACAAACAACAGTACCACGCCATTACTATGGATTTCAATACTGCTTAGAAGCCATCAGAGTATATTCTTACAGGGCATTTTCAAGATTCTGCTTCAAATTGCAGCTTGTGCAGATGCTCTGCAACTATGTTGGATGGGTGGAACTCAAACCAGCAGTCGTTCAGGCTCACAACCAGAGTGAGAACACAAAGCATGGCACTTGATTTATAGTGCTGGTAAAGAATAACAGGGAATCAGGCACTTCTGACAAAATATTTGATACTGTCACAAATCTTGATTCTAAAAGTTACACTAAATTATCCTTTTCCTGTTGTCCAAATGAGCTGTGTGAACACATTATTTTTGGCACTGGAAAATTTCTGAAAAGTAGAGCTACTTAGTTCACGTTCATTCAGTTTATTCAAAATAAATGTGCTCCCTCTGCTGGTAGTCATCAAGTAGGCAATAGCAGGTCTAAAATAACTGGCAGCAGGTCTAAAACAGTAAGCAGAAAACTTTGCCTTTTGACTAGATACAGTGTATCATTACAGCGATACTTTGCAGTGGAAATCAGACGGTTATTTCAGATTCCATGAGATAAGCTCAAATAGCAAGGCTTGCTTTGGAAACTTATATTGTGCATGCGAGTTTTTAAGTGAGTAGACGACTACAGAGGTATCGGGGTTTTTTTAAAGTTTAGGATATCACTTGACAGCTAGAATAAAAACACGCAAGTTTAAGAACATAATAAATGATTAAGAAAAAATGTTCTATAACAGAGAATGCAGCCCTACTCCAGCCCTCAAACCAGCTGTACACCAAGCAGGTAGTAGGTTACACAGTAAATATTTGTGTTGGCTAAGCAACTGAAACACTATTTCACGAAGAAATCAAACAAAACTAAAACCAACACGAATTAGGTCCTCAGATGTTACAGTGATAAGAAGGGTTTGCATGCCTGAAAGCTTGTCTAATTTTTCCAACTATATTTATCTGCCTAATAAAATATATTACCCCTACACACAAACTTTGTTTTGTGTAGTTCAAGACATTTAAAGACCTAGGTCAGGATATGATTATCTAATAAATATAACTCAAATAAAAAGAGCTTCTCTTACTCTACAAGAACAGGGCAATCAATAATCTTTTACCAAAAGGAAGGTTCTCCAATGTCTGAGAAACACATTGGGATCTTCAAAGTTCTCCAAATCAGGTATCCCCGAAACCAACAACTTTACGATGCTATGTGCAAGAGTTGTGTTTTAAGAATCGATATGCATTCCCAGACTAGCAAAACAAGTATCTTTTCCCCAAAAGCCAAACTACTTAGTTTTAGAATAGCACCAAATATACACTGTAGCTGCCAGTGAGAAGAATGTATACAATATAATGATTCAAGGAGGCTTTTCCAATCCTAGAGTCCCAGATTTTCAAATCAAATATTTCAGTATTTAATGGGCTGTGTAATCACTGTGCATGTGAAATGGCCAGAATTCTGGCGCTGTTTTTCACCACACTCTAAGCTTGGCAGGGACAGCCAAGTACTCCAGCTACAGCTATTGGTACCCTCTGTCCTGACTGGAAGAAAGTCAAACATAAGGTAAGAACATCCCAATGCTGCCAGACCAAAAGCACATCTACCCTTCAACAGCAACCAGGAGTGGTGCTGACAGAAAGGACAAAACAAGTGGTGTTTCCTTCAACTTTCAGCCTTACTGTCTTACTCTACCAGAGGCTGTAAAGAAAGAACCAGTTTGCCAGTCCCTTTCCCAGGATTCAGAGAAGTTTATTTGTTTGAAGGAATTTTTTGTTGCTTTCCCTCATTACCTCCTCAGTAAGTAAAACAAGCTATAATAGGAAAAAAAGAAAGCTGGCGGTGGTGCAGCCGCCCTCGCTCCCTGCCCCAGGCCACTTGCATGCTCTCACTGTGCTGTTATCTTGGGCTGACAGGTCAGGCCCTCCCTGGCCACGCCTGGATCATCTTTGGCCTGAACGGTATACCAGAATCACTCAGCACCAATTGTGGCCAGAATGGAAAATACTAATCCAAAGTCAATCATCTCAAGACCCTATAAATAGTTCTCTAGGATCCAGTATGTCCCCCTGAATCAGGACACCTATCAGGGGAAATTTCATGAGGACTCCAACGCCTGATTTTTTTAAGGTTCCATCGATGAATGCCAGCATATAAAGTGAGTAATTCATAAAACTCACTAAAAGGGAAATTTTGATGACAGGGTTAACCTCTGTGGGCTTGTGTGCAATTTGACTCAGAACTGTTTGTCTGTCTGTGTACGATGCGATTTAACCTCCACCTATGCGTGTAACCCTGCTATAAGTTTCAGGTGATCTTGCCATTCTCGAATCTTTAACAAAGTCACTATCTTGATGGTAACAAATTCCACTGAATCCCTCTGTTAAACTTGCTGATGATTAAGTGCAAGTTAAGAATTACAGACCCTAATCTTGTACAAAATATTAGTAAATCCTAAATTTCTGCTAAACCAAAACCATGTAAAAAATTGGTTTTGTGCCACTGATATAAAGGACTCATTGTACACATATATAATCCTCTAGACACAAACCACTGACCAAGTCTGGGACCAGGAGCGGATCCAGCCACACCCAGACTCCTCTCTGAGGAGGAGTTTAGAAAGAAAGGGGGTCCTTTCTGAACCTTGTGACTCAACAGAAAGGCCTCCCTGACTGTTGATCTGGCGCTGTCCTCTACACAGAAAATAATCAATCTTCTGAAGTCACTGCCACATTTACTATCAAATTTTTTAAACTGCTGTCTTAAACATTTTGCTGCTTCTGTCTTGTGAGTGAAGTGCATCAGTCCCTCCACAACAAATCTGCATTAGAGCATGGTTATCCCACAGACAGGGGAAACAACAAAAAACATTGAGAGTTGCACAAGTATGCAGGCATATCCCCACCATGCGCTCATTCTCTTCACTGATCTGACTATTTTGTCGGGTTTTTTTTTCTTTTTATATACTAGTAGATGCTTTCGTTTCACAAAGCATAATTACTATTACTATATTTAGGTATAAATATGTAAGTACAATAACTATTGTAAACACCCATCTACAGCAAAGTAGCTCAAAAGCAAAAAGAATCAGTAGTTGTTCTTCACATATTTTTGGAGTGACCAACCCCTTTTTAACAATTAAAAAATTAGTATGAGGGCTACTACAATAACTGGAAATATTTGGATTTTTTTAAAAAGTAATATTCAGGAAAGTGTTGCCATTTTCAGAGAACAGAACAATCTATATATATTAGATCATCTTATAGTAACTAAAATCTACATTATAAAAAGCACTACTAGGAATCCTGTATTTCAGACTTAAATTGTCAGCTGTAGGATTGGCCCTCTGAATTAAGGCTGAGTCACAACGGCTTGTCTCCTTCACCAGTTTCCTGCTTTTAGCACTAAGTACCAAGCTACATGTCATATTTTACAAAGAAATGTAAAACTTCCAGGAGAGCTTTTCATGTCATGCTCTCCCTTCTCAATAGTTGGTAAAAACAAAAAAACAAGAACAAAGAAAACTTAGTATCAGCAGAACTCTGGTGAGTTACCAGAGCCTACCTAATAACTCAGAATACTGAAAGGTGTTTGTTATCTTCCTTTGTATAAAGTCCCTGGAGTTCTCTTCTGTCAAGTCCATTAGCAAAATGAGATGATTAGGGAAAGGCTCTGTATCCCCTGACTGCTTTCCATCTCACCATTTGTTTTAATAGATTCTTTATACTGAAGTCACCCATACAGAGTACACAAACAAGTTACATTTAAATTCTCATGATCCTTGATTATTTCACCAGATAGGTATCTAAGATCATCAAAAGCAAAGAGAAGCACAGAATATTTTTCCCTCCTGCACAAGACATAACACAGGATCTACAGGGTAGTAGTATCTTGTGCCATCAGTTACTTCAGTAAAAGTGCATAGCTCATCTGAATTCTCCATAGCATAACAAGCAAAAAGTAACTTCTGTAACAGAAATTTGTTCACAGTTTGAAACACTACAAGTTTTTCTACAATAACCTGCCACATATAGACTCTATCAGCCCATAAGATATATATATAGGTCTATCAGAGTCTTGTATGTCTTATTGGACTTCCAGAGATACAGAAATCTAAAAACTTACAGTGCACTGATCTCCACAGTCCCTGCCACGCAGTGGAGTTTTGTGGCCCCCCATTACCTTCACCTACTTTTCATTCCCCAGCATTTCAGAATTCAAACTGTCAAAGCAGTAGCATTTACTGTTTGTCAATAATAAACAAACACTGGCAAGTTTAAGAGTAAATTTCAGACTGAAGTCAAAACAAAATAGTTTCTCAACCCCACCACTACTCTATACAATGTGCATACAGTGGCTCTCCGCTTACTTTGCTTTCTTTTTCAGCAGGCATGAACAAGTACATTCTGTCTACAGATGGGAACAATAGCTGCCCACTAAGTCAGCACACGTTGTCATATTTGCCCTAATATTTTGAAAAAATTCAGATAGTAACGTTGGTTTTATTATAAAAAAAAATGCCAAACAGGATTAGGTAGCAGACTTCAAAATTAACTATTAAATATACATAATGTCAATATTTACAAATATTGTCACATCTTTAAGAAAGCATAGATAAGAAAATTAAAAATTAGTATTTCCACTGAAATACTTCAGATAACATAAACATGTTCACACAAGTTAAACTACACTCATGCTCTCAGAAAAAAAAACCAAAACCAAAATCCTCTCCAGATAAGAAAGTTGTTACATGTAAATCTCCTGCCATATCTAAGTACCTTTGGGTTAATGTCGACCCAGCTCTTGTCGCATTGGACGCTGAAGCTGATGAATCAGTGCATGGACTTCTGAACTCTTTTTCAGTCTCGTCTTCCTTCTCTCTTTCACGAGCCTCTAAATACGGAAAGCACATAAATGACAAATAATCAAGACTTTTAGCAAATAACAAAGTTAGAGGCTTGCTGATGTTACTAATACCGTAGAAAGTTACTTATTAAAGAGAAACTAACTGAACAAATCCTTTAGAGGACAGAGAGAGCACCCACAAGACCTATAATAAATCACTGATTTGTTGAAAAGTACCCAACAATCTTCAAACCCCGCTTCGCCCCATTAACAAGTCCAAACTATGCAAACTCAAGACAAAGAGGTCGTCCAGCGGACACCAAAGGACGACCACCGGGGGGCCTAAAGACTCCAGAATACACTTCCCATAATTAATCACACATGTTCGAAGGGGAAGCACCATATGTAAATGATTTCAGGGAAAAGTAATGAATATACGCTCTGATTCCAGGAATTACAATGAATATGTAATCTATTGTGTCTATATAATCTGCCCATGCTAACAACTGAATATGCATGTTAGGCGGACCGACCCCTGTGCATCCAGCACTGCAATAAAGGGAATGCCTGCTTCTTAATACCAATACTGCATTGGTATTAAGAGGTTTATTCCCAATTTCAATGACACTGAGGAAAGTAAAACAATTTTCTTCATTTTCAGACCTATAGGAAATGTTTGAAAAGGTAATAGAAAATAAAGGATTTCACCTGAAAATTTATTACTTCTCCATATAAATTAAATTTCCATCACTACTGCAATAACACAGAAAAACAAAACGTTGCAAGGAAAATGCAAATACCTTCCAGCTGTTAGCTTGTACACACTATCAAACATAAGTTGATCATATAAGGATGCTGATATTTCAAAATTTTCAACACTATACTAAAAGAGTATGATTACTTGAGAGAGTTCTTGACATTTTCATAGCACAGGGAACTAAATTAATACATAAGTACACACAGGTGTAAACAAGTGAATTCTAAATATGATTCACAGAAAATAAATACAAAGAGAGCTGTCTGTATTAGGAGTTTTTTCCCACTTCACTTACTGAAAAAGAATCCCTGTGGAACAGTGCAACAAAATCAAAGTAAACAGAACCTTCCATTTCAAAGTATAAATAAGACTGGTGAGATTATGACATGGTAATAGATACAGCCACTGTATTTCTAATAGTGCTCAAATAACTTCAATTATTATTGAATAATGTTAATATATATTAAGCAGAGAAAAGTTACTTTGTCTCTCTACAACAAACAACACTTTATTTTTTTGCTTACTGTTCATTAACTAAACTAAAAACATGTTTTGCAGCAAAGCTAGGAAACGTTTTCCTCTGAAGCGGAACACAAACACCTGCAAGATAAAGAACCAGGAAACATATTTTGATCTCAGCTCTTTTTATCCACAGTTCAGGTAGCAGAGAAGACATTTCCAAAAGTTATCATATGTATTCCAAAACCTGAAGCTAAGAAGTTCACATTGCCCCACCCCCACAAAAAGTTGTAAAACATACACTTTTAGATTACTATATTCTGAATACCAAAATTTGTTTCTAAGTTAAATAGCTGAATTTCATACAAAGCTTTATAATTTTTGGTAACATGACCAACCTTATAAAACAACAAAACGAGTTGTGCTTCCATTAGTGGTAAGGGCCTAGAAACCGGGGCAGGGGGGGAGGTAAGGGAGGTGACATACTCAAGATACAATTCAAAATGTCTTGACTTAAAAACATTATGGTTTTGTAATTAATTACTGGATACCCCTCCTAAACTAAAACATGGTGTAAGCAAATGATCTCTTGTAAGGAGAACCAGTCTGAGACACTTTAAACATCACCCTAAGACAGAAAAACAACACACGTTTTAAAATGCGTTAGCTGACTATTCTCGCATTTCTTACCCAAGACCTTCCTGCTCCTCTCCACTGCAGTTCTTCTCGTTTGTTCAAACATGGCTTCGAGGTCGAAAGTCCGAGCTTTCTTCCCTGAAAATAAAGAAAAAGGAAACTGAAACACAGACTCACCCTGGCCACAGGCACTCCGGCAGCTCTAGGCCGGCGGAACGACAGGCACGACCGCTTCATTTTCACCGCCA